GTTTTATTTCATATTGTGATTGTGAATATCGGGCAGTTATGTTGATTTATTATAACAGCATTCTTGCTGGCAGTTTATCTTCACTTGCCAATAGTGGCTTTAGCTACACAGCAAAGTTTTTAAACAGTTTTTAAATAATAGCTCTCATTCTGTAGATTGCTTTCACTTGAGAATAAAAGCTTCAAATTGATTCAATATCAAATGAGCCAACTTCACTCTGGTGCAGGCAGTGCAAACCAGCATATTCTAAGGAGATCAAGGCTAGAGGATAGCTTGATATTATGAGCCAGATGCTGGACAACAACACCAGCAATGCTGTATCTGGGGGTATAGTTACCACACCTCCCAGACAGTGGGTGTGGTAGACTTGCTGCTTCTTGTGATGGCTTGCTTCTGTTTGACATGGATTGGGTTTTGCACGCAGTAGAGCCAAGTGGTGGTCCCTAAACATTAGTTATACCTCAGGATTATCAGTAGTGCAGAAAAGTCTGCAGATTTATAGCTTGCATTTGGTAACAGAAGAGATCAGAATTGGATCATATCTTTAATTACTCATAGGCATGCTGGGACAGGAAAACTACTGGATTCTTTTTGAAAACAAGTTATGATTATGAGTATCTCTAAAGTGGATTCAGAAGTTACTACTGCTTTGTGACGTAGAGGGCATGGCTGAGTTAGATTGCAGTTTTGCTTTTCAGAGTGCTCCATCTTGTTCCTTCTTGAAATCGCATCATAATTGGTGAATTAGGATTCAGACTTCACATTCTTTACCATCATTTTATGGTTCTATGCCTATTACCTTTAATATAAGCCTTCATTCTCACTTAATTGGTTCACTGATTTTTTTCCAGGTTTAGCTTCAGTCTAGTGTGTAGATGACTGTTATTAAAAGCCCATCGAAGCAACAGATATAAAATGTATAATAATGGACAGTCTTTGTCAAAAAGACTGAAAAAATAGTGAATCAAAATCCCGGAAATAAAAGAGATTCCTTACTTGTTGCAGAAACCTGTTTTCTAGAAAAAATTATCAGGCCTTTTTATCAGATTTTAGATGGAGTCTTAAGAGGCAGCATTTCATAAATATGCTGTTTTAGTGCAGCTTCTTGTAATGCACAAAGGCAATACAAAATTATCATTGTAATGCAAAAAATATGTTAGGATCTGAAATGAATGCAGTGAATTACACTGTTATTGCAGTAGAAATATGGGGGGGGGGTTTCCCCTAAAGTCCTGTTTGCACATCTAGGGCAAATGAAGGAATGCAATATAGATAGATATAATGCTGGGAAATCCAAAGGGCCACTTTGAATAACCACAGCATTCATATAATCAGCAGCTAATTGAGTGATCCTTTATGAACAGAGGGGAAAAAATCCAGCTATTACTTTACATCTTGGAACTATAATTTAGGGTGTCCAGTTTGAACAAAATCATAGCTATCAGATAATGGTTATCTTTTCTCATTTGTGGTCTTGAAGCACCAAATAGAAGGCTCAAACTCCAATTTGCTGGGATTTTGTGCAGATCAGCAATGTATTTATGTTTATTTTATAATTGCCGTAAAATAATATATGTTTAATATATTTATACAGTTTCTGAAATAACTACTGTTTTTCTTGGGAGGATTTCCCCCCCCCCCATGTTTGCTTGGAGCATTCCATCCAGTATCAAGTACAGATATAGTTTCTTGTTCCAATTATATGTATGTGAATGAATTGAAGGATAGGCTAAATTCAAAGTAGAACGTGAGTTGGGAAGAGATGGAACCCTACTACTCTTCTACATTTGATTTGCAAGGGCTCATATTTGTATATTGATCCCTTAAGATCAGATGTTAAGAAGAGTGGCTACTACAGAAATTCCTTATTGTGCTTTGCCCTCTATGACAGACATGTCAAACACAAGGCCCGGGGCCCGGATGCGGCCCGTGAAGTGGTTTCATGTGGCCCGCAAAGCCATCCTGGAAACAGTGAGGGAACGGCCCCCGCTGCCTTGGTCCTGGCCCAGGCCGGCCGGGAGCCAATGTACAATTTTGTGGTGGCCATCTATGCTGAAACACATTCAGTCTTAGCTCCACAAGGCCATCCAGAAACAGTGAGGAACCAGCCCCTGCCGCGTCGGCCCCGCCCCCTGGGTGCATGCTGGGGAGGTGTCCCTCTTTGTGAGGAATGAAGAAATGGACCATGCCTTGGCACTTGCCCTGGTCCCACCCCCTTCTGCCAGAGACCCTCAGATCTGTCCCACTCCTGCCCAGGCCCCCACAGGCATCCTTGACGCGAATGATGTAGAGCTGGCCACACCCACCCAGTAGGCGACACCCACTCCATCCACCCCCACTCAGTAGGCTGCACCCACCCTGGCCACACCCACCCGCCCCCCAAGGGCAACCGCAATGCTGATGCGGCCCTCAATGAAATTGAGTTTGACACCCCTGCTCTATGATGACCAAGAACATTTAGAGGGCATCAGTGGGCCTGTACTTTCTCTGAAGGACAGGAATATTATCAATCACTTCTATGGTGCAGACTTGTCTGTAGATTGTGAAGAATTACTGTACGTGCTATGCCTGGTCATGTTGATAAAGTAGCTGCAGAAGATGGACAAAGATTAAGTTCATCTGCATCTACATTTTGGGCAGGACCATTTGCAGAAATGAAGTGTTTAATTATTATATTACCCAATTACTGAGTTGGCAAGCTATTCCTTTGTGATTTCCCATGAACAGCAGTATCAAGAAAATTCATGTAGGAAATTGTGGTTTAGAAAATAAGGAGTAGGGAATTTCTAGAAAAATGGTGACTTTTAGAGGCCTGAGCAAACTGGGAATATTTGAGTTTGGATGATAACCGGCTGGGTCACACGAGAGGAAGAAAGTGAAATAATATTAAGAGAAATAAAATCCGGGTGATGTTTATAGTTTCAGAGAAATGCTAAATTTGAATGCTTGCATATCCTGCTTGTTCACAGTGACAAAAATTCCAGGTGAGGAAAAGTGAAACAATATATTGTTTTACAACCTGAATCATTTGATGAAAATAGGGAATATTGAATAACAAGGGGAAAATGGGAGACTTTCTAATATTATTCATGCCTGCTCAGGTTCTGGTAAAAGTGCTAACTGGATCTTACCGTGTTTCCCCAAAAATAAGATCTGGTCTTATTTTTTTTGCCTCCAATAGAGGCACCAGGTCTTAGTTTTTGGTGGTGTCTTTTCCATGGTCTCACCTCACCACGGCAGCACTGACAGCCCTGCCCAGTCGGCCCACTTCTTCTGTGGCCGAAGGAAATGCCTCTGCAGCTGAGAATAGAGCTCCGGATTGATGCGCGTGGTGCCCCCCCGGCCTGCATTTCACCATCAAAGACCTTTCCAGAAGGCCTCCGACAGCGAAATGCAAGCCAGGGGGGCGGTGCAGAAGAAGTGGGCGCACGATGCAGGCGTTGATTCATGGGAGGCCTGGCTGCAATGGTACGGGGCGCGTGGGGCAGCTCCATCCCCCCACCCCTACCCTAGCTTGATTTTTAGACATGCACCTTGCCCCCAAACTAGGGCTTAGATTAGGCCTATCCCCAAAAATCAGGCTAGGGTTTATTTTCAGGGTAGGTCTTACTTTCGGACAAACACAGTAGTTTGACTGTAGGACTATTAGACCATTGAACTGAAGGCCAGTAGTATTAAACATTTGCTCTACTGTCACATTGCCTGCCTGTCTGCTCTCTCTTCAGCTCTTTGGGTTTCCTGTGTGCTACCAGGAAAAAAAACTGAGCTGCGAATCTTTGGGCCAACCTCCTCCTATTCATTTTCTGTGCATTTTTCTCAGCTGGTTTATCAGGTTACTTACTGCATGCTTTCTCTCCTCATCCTTGTCTTGTCATTTACAAAGTAACACAGTTCTCTTATTTTTCCTATAAAGTAGTCTGTTAGGCCAGTTTTAGGTTATTCCAAGGTAAAATCACTATAAACTAACAAATATTTATTAAGGAATGGGGTTTTTTTAGGCACATTGGAGATTTAATGCTATAATTTGTTTGAATTTAAGATGGCTGACTTTGTTGCAACAAGCTGATATTTATGTGTAAAACGAATGTAGACAATCCAGCACTATTTGTATTTTCTCACTGCTTGTATAACTAGTGAAGACGTTTGGGGTTGTGCTGTTTCTCTGCACAAGTCTTTCAAACCTGCCCAACTGCTTGCCACAATTATTTTTCTCTCTCTATTTTTTTTCAGCATATTCAAAATGTTAGCGAATAGTCCAAGAGTTTTGAAGTACTGGAAGAGACTCCAGTCTTTCTCCCTCCCTCCAGTTTTGGCTAGATACATCATTTTAGGCTTTTGTCTACGTGTCAGTAATGATAGCCTCTATTTCTAATCCTGTCATGCTCTAAACATAATTTGCCACTTCTGATTTGGTAAAACTTTTCTTTTAGATGTATACACATCAGTTCCTGTTTGTAAAGGATGGATAGATGTGTCTGATTCAGCAAGCTTGCTGCATCATTTTTACTAGAGAATAAAACCGGTGCTGCAAAAGAAAGTTGCTTGATACTAAAGATGTGGAATCATGATGAAACATTTAGAAAGTGTTTGATGTAATTTCCCCAGCTAATGTGTGAAACGTGAAGAACACAGTCAGTCCTTGTTTAGCCATCGCAATCTTGGGGAAGGGAGAGGCAATTCGATAGTTAAGCAAAGCAGTCACTAAGTGAAACTACAACTGCTTTTGATGTTGCTACAGCTTTCCTTTGTTTTACAGACCTGCAAAGGTCATAACTATGAGGAATGATCGTATAAAGTTACTTTTTTATCACTGTTGTAACTGCTAAATGAGGACTACTTGCAGTCGGTTGAATATGAGAATGAATTTTAGGATTCCAGAATACTTTTGAGCATATCCCTCTTTTTGAGCTTTTATTGGTATAAAAAGGGTGAGATGGGTGGCAAACAAATTTGGTAAATGAATACATATTTATTAAAACACCTTGTTTCTTGAATTTCAGATTTAATTCAATGCACAAATGAGATGAATGTGAATATTCCACAGTTAGCAGACACGCTTTTTGAGAGGACGGCAAACAGTAGCTGGGTAGTAGTGTTCAAAGCTCTAATTACAACACACCACCTCATGATGTATGGAAATGAGGTAAGAAAGCAGCATTTTGCAATACATTTCAAAAGGGGAGGGTTTTCAAAATCAGTGCCTGGTGAATTTCCCAAAGACGGCATGCCAGAGGCTTCAAAAACCAGGAGGAATTGCGTATGTAGCTCCTTATTAGAAAGCAAATACTGGCATAGAAAGTTATTTTATTAGTCCCCCCCCCCCCCCAGAAATTAGCAAATGTGTTAAATGAAGTACTTATCCTGCATTGTGAGATTCTGGCCTGACAGGTTTTATTTTTGCCCTTAAAGGTTCCAAGGATTCTATTGCCCACTTGCCATTTTAACAACATTGTGCCTGTTAGCATTTGACTGTTTCAAACTTCTTGGGGAATCTGAATGAGAATGAGTTGAATACACATCCCAAGCTCACTTTGTGGTGGAATTGAACAATGCACTCTCCATTGTTGTCTAGTTAACAGTCCTTTATCCCCAAAGTGTGTGTATATGCTATTTTTAGAAGACATGTTTGTCATAAAATCTATCAGCTCCACTCTTAGCATGCAAAAATATCTCCCCCTGATTTGAAAAACAGAGTGGAATTTGCTTTACAGATTTTTACAGGACCGAGGCAATTCTGCCTCAAATCCTGAAGTGGTTTATAGTGTTCAGTCATGCAGGAAGCTAATAGAATGGAAACTAAAGCTAAAAAAATATCCCATATCTTAGAATGGGAAGAATCCCAAAGGACAATGAGATAATAACTTGTTAGTCGTGTCAGCTTGCGGCAATTAAAGCATTAGGAGTAAAACGTCTTTGCCTTGGATTTGTACCAGGTCTATTTTCCTACTATGCGTAGATGTAAATCTTGCTTAATTGTCGTGAGAATAATCTCACAATAGTATAGCACATAGTATAAAGAATAGTATTCTTTATAATCATCATATGATGAAAGGCATGCAAAATGAGCAATCTGCAGTGGTATAATATTTGAGTTTTGCTTCCATTTCCCTTTTCCATGGAACCATTTGTAAATCAGAGTTGCTATGAAATACATTGCATATCAGTTTCTCTTACATCATTCTGCTCCAGTTTTATCTCTCTGGTTAGTGATTGCAAAATTGTAACTATTAATAGATATAATTGGCTTGCCTTAGTAAAAACAAGAAATAGTTCTTGTTTATGTGATCAAGGAACTACAGGTGGTCCTTGACGTACAACAGTTCGCTTAGTGACTGTTTAAAGTTACAACGGCACTGAAAAAAGTGACTTATAACCATTTTTCATAGTTACAACTTTTGCAGCATCCCCATGATCATGTGATAGAAATTCAGACAGCAGTTGGTTCTTACTTACGACTATTGCAGTGTCCCAAGTCATGTGATCACTTTTTGCAACCTTCTGATAAGCAAAATCAATAGGGAAGCCAGATTCACTTAACAACTGTGGTAAGAAATGTCATAAAATGGGGCTAAACTCACTTAACAAATTCTCATTTGACAACATAAATTTTGCGCTCAATTGTCATAAGTTGAGGACTATCTGTATTTCATGTGTCACTTGCTTAGAAATTAGCAGTATAAAATATTTCTATAGAAAGATAATAATCTGCAGAAAGATAATAAAGATAATCTGAATTCTGATTCATTTGTTCACAGCGCTTTATTCAATACTTGGCATCTCGAAATACATTATTTAATCTCAACAACTATCTGGATAAAAGTGCCATGCAGGGTAAGGATTCTTTTTCTTTTAAAAATAAGTTTGAATTTATATTCTGTGTTTAAATTGAATCATATTTGATTAGCCTGTTACGTCTCTTTATCTTAGTGAGGTTTTTGTTATTGATAATGAAAAGAGTGATTCTTCAGATGATTGGGGTTTTAAAAGTGAGCATCGAATTTGGAATGGTCAAGCCCTCTAACTTGAGGAAAAGAATTTTTTTAGGGCCAGGCACAGCATCCTTCCATCCTTGCCTTTGTGAAATTGAGACAAGTCAACATTTTTTTACTGTAGCTTTTATAAGGATCTTTGAAAAGACATGATAATCCCTCTTTTATTACTTAAGTGCACCTGGGGAACAGACAATTTTTTACAGTCACTTTTTACTTTCAGTCTCAATCTATGAAACCACCTACACACTAAACAAATTTATTGTAGTGTCAATTCAGTTGAGGCAACAATTAACATGAAACATGCCTTTTCTTTTTAACTGATGGGTTTTATTTGCTTGTTTATTGCTGATCTCTATAAATCAAGAATTTGATTTGAATTGTACGCAGCTTGTCAGAGTGTCAATTACTAAAATACCCGCTTATTGATGATTCACAAGCTGAATAATAAGGACATAAATTGTTCTAAACAAACTCCTCAAAATGTTGTTGGCTTTTATTTAACGAGGTAATACTGCCATTCATAGGAACTACATCAATTAGCTAATGCCAAGAGGTTTGCAAGTTGAAACAGCTGGAAGATGGATATTCCAAGGAACCGAAATTAATTTGGATCCCAATACATTCAGAAGAATTGTTATAAGAAGGTTTTGGTGGAGATATGGCCAATTGACTATGGCCCTCTGAAAGGGGAGCGAATGACCAAGCCAGAGACCAACAAACAGATCAATAGATAAGTTCCTTGGAACCTCTATAAATAAAGAGAGAACAGAAGATCTCCCACATGTGTTCTTGATGGCTGCTTCATGTTAGGAGATCCTAGGACAGTGGTGGCAAACCTATGGCACGTGTGCCAGAGGCGGCACTCAGAGCCCTCTCTGTGGGCACGCGCGCCATGCCCCTGAGATGACAACTGACCCTCTTCAACCAGCTGTCCGCTAACTTGCCGAGGTCCCACATGGCCAGATGCATCCCAGCACAGCTGGTTTCCCTCCCCCCCGTCCCATCCCTCCTGGCCTCGCATGCTCTCCTTTTCCCGGGCACGACCCACTGCATCGCCTCCTCAGCTGTTGGTCAGCCGTCCAGCTCAGAGGCGGCTTCTCTGAACTACTGGCGGTGGGCTGCGGAGCCCCAGAGTGCGCCGGTCGAGAGGCCGGCAGGCTGTGGCTGCTGACGGATGCTGTCGGCCCCCATGTGCTCACTGGAATCTGTGTGTGGGGGCCGATGGTGTCAGGCAGCAGCCGCCCCAGCCCCTGCCTCGCCTTGCACCCCCGCTCTGCCTTGCCTCACCTCGCCTCACCCCGCAGGACTCCTGCCCACCGCCCCAACTGCCAGAGACACCCTGAATCTCCCCCAACCCTGCCCAGCCCCCACAGGCGTCCCTCCCCACAAGCAATATCGAGGTGACCACACCCACTTGCCCACGCCCACCCAGGGGGCCACGCCCACCTGGCACCCGGCAATAAATAAATGGGTTTTGGGTTGCAGTTTGGGCACTCGGTCTCTAAAACGTTCGCCATCACCGTCCTAGGACAGTACTTTCCTATGAGTTTGAGCACCAGGAGACAATGGTGTTAGCCATCTTGCTTGCAACTGCAGTGGAGATTTTTAAAGGACACTCGGCAAACTTCATTTTCTAATCAATTTCAGAAATTGCTTAGTAACTACTTCTTTATTCTAGATCTTTAGAATAACTGTCTACCTTTAATGCTGAACAAAAAGAACATTTTAATCATAAGCTTAAGAATTTAAAGAATCTGAAAGAAATAGCAAAAAGCTAAATAAGATTTTGATCTTAGAAACTTATAAACAGAGTAAGGGTCCAAATAAAATTGGAACAGCGAAGTTTGTACAAGAGTTTGGAATTATGAAGAACATATACCTTCTCGTGGGGAATAAATCCTGTTTCGGTTTTTACAAGATTAACAAAGAATTTCATGATTTCAAAAACTGGACACTGGAACGAACTAAAGATTTGGGGTGTACGAAAGATACGTAGGTTTTTGAGATGGTGGAAAACATAATGAGAATAGAAATATTGAAGGAGACTTGAAGAATGGAATCAGAAAATAGCAGCCATAATATCAACAAGCTAAGAAATTATGTTGGCTTCTATAGATAGACTACAGATGTAAAAGATGTTATTGAAGCAATGTCAGATATAGAATAAATTTGAAGACATAGAAAATGGTTTAAAAAAATAATTTAAACTGACAGGCGAAGGAGAACGATTTAGGAAAGGATGTTTCACTGGATCTACAAAAGAAATTGGCTGAGTCTTTAAAATTTAAAAGGGAAGTGCAAATGACAAACCAAGAGAGTGACTTGAATAAAATTTTCCTACTGGATTTACAGAAGAGGCTTCTTAAAGTCTTGAAGAATTCTGTGTAATGGGACAAAGAAAAAAAATGAAGAGAAATTAAATTCTATGACAATATTTGAATGAACTAAAGATTAAAATTGTTACAATTGAAATGAATTAATATAAATTTGGTTTATTTGAATAAGGTTAAAACACAATATTTTGTTACTTGTGGCTATCTTTTATGAACTTTCTGCTGACACCAGGATTGAAAAGATACTTTATGTATTTGCTTATAGTTAAGATGTAGGTGGAAGAATTAAATGTAACTTTAGAAAGGATGAAGAATTACTAAATTGTTTATACTTGTGATGAAGTTGTAAAGCAACTTTTTTATGTTTCTTTTTCTTTATTCTGACTTCCTATTTCCCTTGCACTTTTTACTCCTAATTTCTTTCCTTTCTTTAGCTTGTGTTACATCTGGCTATTATAATAAAAATTCTAAATTATATATGTATATATAAAACAATACAGAAGAAGACTTATAAGGATGTAAAAATAAAAAAAATGTCTAACTGAAAATTTCTTTATTTTCAGGCTATGATATGTCTACCTTCATCAGACGATATAGCAGATACTTGAACGAAAAAGCACTTTCTTATAGACTTGTAGCAGTTGATTTCACCAAAATGAAAAGAGGGTAAGGGTCACTTAGATTTTCACGCTTTTGTGTTTGGAGGGCAGAAGTTGAACGGAACCAGCTTAAACGAAATACTGTACATAGAGAAGAAAAAGAAAAATCCAATTTGCTACATCGATTTAAAGTATCTACAATACTTTTTCCAGTTAACTTTTTCTGCATTTTGAACATAGCTATAACATTAATAGGAAATATTCCTTAAAGAGATTCAATGGTGTGATTTGAAAATTGAAAAAAAATCCCATTCTTTGCCTATTTTTTTCTATGTGATTTCAGAAGACATACTCAAGTATGTCTGATAGTGAGAACAATTAACCAGTGGAACAAGCTGCCTCCAGAAGCGGTGAATGCTCCAATACTGGAAGTTTTTAAGAAGAGACTGGACAGCCAGTTTGTCCGAAATGGTGTAGGGTTTCCTGCCTGAGCAGGGGGTTGGACTAGATGACCTCCAAGGTCCCTTCCAACTTTATTATTATTATTATTATTATTATTATTATTATTATTATTATTATTATTATTAACATGTGCAGAAAGGAGCAGTTTTATTAGAATCTGACGCATAGGTTGTGATTTTGTTGCGCTACATGTGTTATTCTGATAAACCTTTAAAATGTATTTTTCGTTATGTCTTTGAAGGATTGATGGTGTGATGAGGACAATGAATACTGAAAAACTTTTGAAAACCTTGCCAATTATTCAGAATCAGCTGGATGCACTTCTTGATTTTGATGTAAGCCTAGGAATTGCTCTTTACTGCTATAAAACAGAGTTGGACTTTTCCAAGGGAATGAGGGAATGTTTTTACTTCCTCGTGTTTTAACTCTTTTCCATTTTTGCCGTTTTCTGTGCAGGCAAACCCAAATGAACTAACCAATGGCGTAATCAATGCTGCCTTCATGCTCCTCTTTAAAGATTCCATTAGGCTTTTTGCAGCCTATAACGAGGGGATCATTAACCTGTTAGGTATGTGACATGAAAATAATTTAAAGTGGAGACATGTAAACCTACGTACGAGGTTTTCTAGATATTTTCCATGTTCAACTTCTCCTTCATTTCTTTATATTCTAACCTGTTTATTATTTTGTCTTATTTCACAATTTGTTTCTGTCACACACATGTATCCCTTGGCCATCACATAATAGTTTTGCTTATGCTCCTTTCTGCTGCATTCTTTTCCAACATCCATATACAGCTTCCTCTGCCTCGTATCCATAATGTTAGAAATTGCTTTCTTAAAAAAAAAACACTGATATTGTACAGCTTTGGCCATCTGTGATGTTGAAATGTTCCATAATACTTCAGCAGGTTAACTAGTTCGCAGAGAAAACACACTTCACTTACCAAAATCAACAGCTACAGAATTTTCTAGAGTTGCAATCTGTACTGTTTGTTGTTTCCTGGTATTAAAATAGTCTGAATTTTGGAAGTGGGAGAGGGGATAAATTGACAAAAGCATAAACAACATGGTAAACCACGTGTGAACCTACTAATTACGTTGAATGAAATTAAGACTTAAATTATGCATACCACATTAAGATCTGATGGTTTGGAGGAGATAGAAACTTTGTATATCAATATAGACTGAATTCTTAAAGTATTCTGAATGTAGATACAACTCGGTGGGACCATCCTAATCCTCATAGTAATGATAAAATTGTGGAAATTTGCATTCATCCATAACTATGAAAAAGAACTTGTGTGGTTCAGAAGATGCCGTAGAATTAGTAAAAATCTCATTAAATTTCACTAAAGGCTCCTTGGGAATAAATTAGTTGACATTTCCTTTCGTTGTCTAAGATTTATAATAAAGTTTAAAATGGAAATTAAATAATAAGAATTCAAATGTTAATTTAGATTCTGTTCATCTAAATTCTCACCCACAATTGAATTTAGGATCCATCTGCTGTTTTTTTTAATAACTTCATTGTATTCCACAGGTTAGAAATGTTTTTAAGAATGTTAATATGTATTTTTCAAAGACGTTTGTCAGCTTGCATAATTAATGTTCTAGTAGCCTTACCGTAATCCCTCGGAGATACAAAGGCAAAGCTTTTTCTAATATTGCTATTATTAATTTGTGGTCTGACAGAGATAAAAGCCTTTTCTAAAGCTTTTCATTTACAGGCGGTTTTTATTTGTCCTCAATAATAGCACGTGAGAGCTTATAACCCCATAATTAAAAAAGGCAGATTCTTATATGTTAATTATGTGTTAATCTCTTGGTTAGGATGTATTTTACTTTCTCAACCTATTAAACTTCTAATAAGATAATGGATTTTTGGAGCCCTTTTATTTACAATATATTTTCTTTGAATTTTATGCTTCAGAAAAATATTTTGATATGAAGAAGAACCAGTGCAAAGAAGGTCTGGATATTTACAAAAAGTTTTTAGCCAGAATGACCAAACTATCAGAATTCCTCAAAGTGGCAGAGGTAAATAAATCCAGTCACATCAGCAGTATTTCATTTAGCTTTTCTGTACTGGTACAGTAATAAGTGCATGATTGTAGTTCTTGCCCCATAATTTCCTGCAAATGTAGGTTTTATGTGGTGGTTGAATGTAAATGTCGCCTAAACCGTTTACATTTTAAAGGGATATTTTGAACGTCTGATTTCTATTAATTGTAGTTAAGACATGTCTGTGCTGAGGTATTTACTGAAGTTGTTTTTCCAAGTAGTGTCAAAAATTCTCACAAGCTATTTTTGCTCTTTCTGGTATTTGAAATGGATCAACACTTAATATTAAAATTTTCTGTGGAAGTGGCATTTAGAATTGTACCAGTTCAGAAAGCAGTCCGTGTCCTCCCTGGTCCCTTAGCTTTATGTAGACATTCAGGTCCACAGTTCTTTATTTTCATTGCCACTGCATGTAGTAATGTACATTTTTTCCCTTTTTTGTGAACCCAGCAAGTTGGAATTGATCAGGGTGACATTCCAGATCTTACTCAGGTCAGTGTACATTTCATATTAATTTAATCCCAATCCTTTGTGCATTTGTGCTTTAACAGTGAGTGCTCCATTCTGTACATTCTGAGAATTCATTTTCTTCCATATATATTATATATGGAAATAAGTGTCATTTTTTTTCCTGTGACCTGTGTTGTGTTTGATCAGTAACAAGTTGTTTTAAGTATTTTCATGAGCTGCTCTGTAGATATTGTTAACTAAATATTGAGGGATATTGCCATATACCAGACTGTTTTGCTAAAACTTCTGCTGTGCCTGAGAGAACTCCTTTATTAAAATACAAGCATCTTCTCCAATTTCATCAGCTTGAGGACAGTGCATTAACAATTCCCTCCCCTGATTAACAAAGGGGGAGAGGTTGTAGTTCAGTGGTTAGGCCAAGGGTAGGCAACCTTGGCTCTTTTATGACTCGTGGACTTCAACTCCCAGAATTCCTGAGCCAGCATACCTATGCTGGCTCAGGAATTCTGGGAGTTGAAGTCCACGAGTCATAAAAGAGCCAAGGTTGCCTACCCCTGGGTTAGGCCATACAATTGAGTTGCATAGATTCATAGCTTCAGTTCTCTCTTTTAAGAAATGCTCATGGGAAATGTTTCTATTGAAATTCTTGATAACTGATGCCGAATAAACTATATAATGTATGTTACTGTGTCTTTCAGGTAGATGATAGATCTAAAATTTCTTAATGTTCATTCTGTGACCTTATGGGTATTAATGCATTGGGCTGAAGAAACTTCTTAGATGAGAAGCGAGACATTTTCAAGGAAAAAAACCAAGAAAGTCCAGTTGCCTTTTGAAAAGCACCTTTGGGATGATTCTAATGTTAATGTTCCCGTACTGGGAATTGTTTTAGTTTGGCTGAGAGAGAACAGGCTTAAAATGAACCCCGACAAGACAGAGTGGCTGTGGGAGAGCTTTTGTTCGGCTGTTAGAGATTCTCCACTTTTTTGTTCTGAATAGGGTAATACTTTCCATCCAAGACTGGCGCACAATTTAGGAGTCCTCGTGGACTCAAAATTCCTGTTCAGTGAGCACATGGTAGCTACAGCCAAAAGAGTCATTGCACTGATTCATCTGGGCAGCAATTGTGCCCTTTCTTGGACCGCATGTCCCTTGTCACAGGCACTCATCTTGTGCTGTGCTCTCATGTGGCTGCCCTTGAAGACCACTCAGAAGCTACAGATGGTCCAGAATGGAGCAGCACCAGCCATTATGGAAGCATCTCGATATGCCCATGCAATACCTCTGCTAGGAAAGCTGCACTAGTTATCATTGAGCTTCTGCGTGCAGTTCAAGGTGCTGATTATTATCGCCTATAAAACCTTTCGTGGCATAGGGGGGCTATGGCTATCTCTGCCATCAGTTATGTCTACTCCACGGGTGTCAAACTCGCTCTGCGTCATGACGCATCGTGACTTTTTTCGCATTGCCGGAGCTGGGATGGGCGCGGCCTCTGCATGATGCAACTGGCCCGTGGGCCGGCAGTTTGACACCCCTGGTCTACTCCATAGTATCTGAGAAAGTGAGTGTGTTTCGTGTCTCATCTGTTAAGTAACCTTATCTGATGTATGAAGCCCCAACTACTCTGCTACAGTGTCAACCCCTGGAATAACATCCACCAGGCAGTGGCACTGTTTTGAACCTGTAAGTCTTTAAACAAGGGTTTAACAGCTTTGGCAACTGGAAGATGTGTGGTCTTCAACTCCCAGCATGGTTGGCTGGGGTATTCTGGGAGTTGGTCCACACATCTTCAAGTTGCCAAGGTTGGGAAACCCTGCATTAAACAATCTCTGAAAACCTTTTTTTCCTCCCCAACTTTGGCATAGGTAGGGTGTACCTATCTGGTATATAGTGTTTGTTTCATTTGGGCATGTCTGTTCTCTCCATTATACTTATATTTATTTTTGGCTTTAGGTGTTGTATCTGTTTTTAATCTGTACAATGTACAGGGTCAGTGTTGAGTTGGGTAGTCTTATAAATCTAAGTGATTAAAAGTATAACAATAACTTTATCTTTACTTGGAAAAAAATGTAAGATTCAGTGCCCCAAATCTCCTGTTTTCAAGATAGTGTTAGGTGGACAAGGCAGGACCTTAAACTTTACATTTTGGAGGGCATTTTCTTTCATGGTGCTAATACAGGGCTAGACAGATGAGCTGACAGTCTAATTGTGTCTAAGGTAGCATTAGATGTTTGTGTGAAAAGTTGTACAGAATTAGCACAACAGAGTGATTCTATAGACCGGGAATCTCCAAACGTGGCAATTTTAAGACTTGTAGACTTCAACTCCCATGCTGGCTAGAGAATTCTGGGAGTTGAAGTCCACAAGTCTTAAAAAGTTGCCAAGTTTGGAGACCTCTGCTATAGACAGTATGAGAAATTCTTGCTAGCCAGCTTGTAACTTTGATCATTCAGATGCAGTAGTAGTTACTTAGTTCCATCGAATGCCTCTGTAGATTCCTATCATTTGAGTCCATCTGTCACTATGCTGACACAGTGCTTTAGTTTTTTCTGCCTCTTTGCCTGTGCCACCAACTCCCATCTTACCCCTTTTCCTTCCTGTTTGCACAGTTGCTATTTAGCTCTTTTTTTATTACTTTGCTGTTCAGTTTATCCAAGAATCATTTGGCTTGCATTATCTGCAGATTGCCATGTCAGCAATTTGGGGCTTCTTATCTGTGTTAAACACTAGGAGAAGGAAGTTATGTCTCTAGATGGCTAGATGTTTGCTAGCACAATATTCAGTGAAAGCTGAGACTTTTTAAAAATTACAGTACTCCCCAGGGTACCATCAATTTGTGATGTGTGGAATTTAACATGATGGAAAAGGGAAACAGGTGTGGTTAACGCCTTAATAGAGCCCTGTTTGAATTATGGGGGATTAAGCAAAATGTGGTAAGGAAAATAAAAAATATTAGCCTTGGGCACACTTCATTGGATAAGTTGCCTTTAGATTGCTTTGAAATATATAGAAATAAGGTCAAAATAGAAAAGATTCTTTTTTTTTTTTTTNAACAATCCATCTTCTCCATATTGATAAAAATTGTTCATTCGAATGATTCTTCAAGTAAGCCGAAATCTTTGCCATTTCAGCAAGATACGAAACTTTCAATCTCCAGTCTCCCATCGTAGGCAGAATTGGGCTCTTCCAATTTTGGGCTATTAGCAATCGGGCAGCAGATAAACAATAAAGCATCAAATTTATTTCTTTTACATCTAAATCTTGCGCAATACCTAGAAGAAACAACTGTGGAAGGAAAATAATCCTTTTTTTTAAAAATCTGCTGTAAGTTCCACCATAATTGTACCCAAAAAAATAGAAAAGATTCTTTATCCCATACTCTGTGTTTGAAAGTCATGCCACCTCTAGATTTTACTTCGTTTGATCGATCAGAACACCCATTTAATAAGAATTTGTAAGCTACAGTTCACTCGATATAAATCAATACATTCATTCTCTTACAGCATCCTGTTCTGAGTTCACAATTTGTAAATGATCTTTCTCTTACCTCTGAATCTTTACAAAATTGTTTCCCTATAGATATGTGTAACTGGGATATTGGGCCAGGCCAATTTTTAGACAGGAAAAACACCTGCAGGAAGTGACACTTAAGTTGCTGAAAAATAGCTCCTTTGCTTTCTCCTCCAAGTGCCTCTAATAAAGAAAACAGACCATAGGATCAAGTTGTGTGAGCATTCGACCCAAACTAGCATCCCCTGATGTGACCGTAATACTTAATCTGGCCAGGGGGTCCAGTTAAAATCCGTGCTTTCCATAACTATACAGCAAGGAAAGTTGAGCAACAGAAAAGATTGTATTAACGATAAGGGTAGTCCTCAACCTATGACCACAACGGGGCCCAAAATTTCTCTTCTTAAGCGAAATATTTGTTAAGTGAGTTCCCCCCCCCCATTTGCAACCTTTCTTGCCACCGTTGTTAAATGAATCACTGTATTTGTTAAGTTAGTAACCCAGTTGTTAAGTCTGGATTTCCCCTTAACTTTGCTTGTTGGAAGATCACAAAATGTGATCCCGTGACCTTGGGGACACAGTAATAGTTATAAATATGAACCAAAGTTGCCAAGCATCTGAATTTTGATCATATGACTACAGGGATGCTGCAACGGTTGTGTGAAAAGCGGTCAGATCACTTTCCTCAGTGCCGTTGTAACTTTGAACGATAATTAAAATTGTAGCTAAATGAACTGTCGTAAGTTGAGGACTACTTGCGCTGTATTTGGGAACTCTAGTTTTCTCCACAAAAACCGGGACATCCACTTGCCAGGGCCAGCCTTTCTCAACCATGGCAACTTTAAGATATGTGGATTTCAACTCCACATTGGCTAGGGAACTCCGGAAGTTGAAGTCCACCCATTTTCATATTGCCAAAGTTGAGAAGAGCTGGTCTAGAACAGACATGTCAAACACAAGGCCTGGGGGCCGGATGCGGCCCACAAAGTGGTTTCATGTGGCCTGCGAAGCCATCCTGGAAACAGTGAGGGAACGGCCCCCGCTGCCTTGGCCCTGGCCCAGGCCGGCCGGGAGCCAATGTACAATTTTGTGGTGGCCATCTTGGCACTTGCCCCGGTGGACCATGCCTTGGCACTTGCCCCGGTCCCACCCCCTTCTGCCAGAGACCCTCAGATCTGTCCCACTCCTGCCCAGGCCCTCACAGGCACCCTTGAAGCAAACGATGTAGAACTGGCCACGCCCACCCAGTAGGCCACACCCACTCCATTCACGCCCACCCAGTAGGATGTACCCATTCTGTCCACACCCATTTGGCCTCCCAAGGGCATCCGCAATGCTGATGCGGCCCTCAGTGAAATTGAGTTTGACACCCCTGGTCTAGAAGATAACAGAAATTGTCAATATAATATTCTACAAGAATCTTAAACACCTTGCTGATCTGACTAAAAATGGTGCAGGAAAACCCCCGAAAGCTTGGGAAGCTGCTGCGATTTAGAATAAATGATTTTTGGCTTGATGCCCTATAGCCTGACCTATAGTCTGATACAGTCTGTGTGTTTTTAGCGGTTATTTGCTTCCTGTTATACAGAAGACCACGTTTGGATTATTTTTTCTCTTGTCTGGTGCAAGCGAGATAAAAGGCTAAATTGGGAGTATGTGTTAGAAATGGAGGTTCTCGTCCATTCGTCTGTTCTTGCCATCATATTTTGGAATAAAATGTGTCTCTCTAGCGTTCAGAGCAGAAAATGCAAGTAGAGGAAGAAAAATGAATTTTAGAATCCGATTTGCATTTGATGAGATTTTTAACTTTAGGCTCCCAGCAGTCTGCTTGAAGCCCTGGAGCAGCATCTGGCTTCTTTGGAAGGAAAGAAGACCAAGGAAGTTTCAGCTGCCAGCAGGTAATTGCCCGAGGCTTGAAGTTGGCTTGTACGTGTCATCTGGGAGCATTGGTCAATGTCTAGCACCGTGGTGGCGAACCTATGGCACGGCTGCCACAGGGGGCACATAGAGCCCTCTCTGTGGGCACGCGCGTCGTCACCCCAGTCCTAGGCCTTCAGCTGGGTTTTATAAAACCTTTTCGCTTTAGGCCTCCGCCGGCTGTGTGCAAAAAAAAATAAAAATGGTTCAATCAATCAATTTCAACTTCTCGTGGGGGAAAAAAAGATCTCACAAAGTTGGAATTGATTGATTGAACTTTTTAGTCCCACCCAGTCTGCCTTTACCACCGCAGCCATGCCCACCCAATGGGCCACGCCCACCCAACTGGCCACACCCACCCAATGGGCCACGCCCACCCGGCACCCGACGATACATAAGTGGGTTTTGGGTTGCAGTCTGGGCACTCGGTCTCTAAAAAGTTCGCCATCACTGGTCTAGCACTTGCTAGAGGAATAGTTGTAAGTCAACGATCACCTGTATCTTAATATTTCCATTTCAGATTATTTATTCATGTAACTCAGGTAGCCATCCCACCTGTCCAGTCACTTGGAGATCTCTGCCCATATTTGCAGATACTCTTAAACATCTTTATTTGATTGGTTAAGTACGTGAAGGATTGCAGTCTGAATGCCTCTGCATCTCTTTTTTTTCTCCTCATTGACTTGAGAATGTTTAATTGTATAACAACAGGTCCGTTCTCTTTCTTGGTAGTCCCCTGCCCCCAAGAAAATAGACTGTTTTTTCTCTGGGCAGTTGGTTCAACCCCAGAGCTGCTAAATAAATGTCTTTGTGTCTGTGTGTTTTCTCTAAAATTCAGAGCAAGTACTCTCTCCAGTGCCGTTTCCACCCTGGCCAACACAGGAATGTCCTTCAGTAAAATGGATGAAAGAGAGAAACAGCAGGCCTTGGAGGAGGAGCAAGCGAGACTGCAGGCTCTGAAGGTATTAACTCTTGCGTTGGTAGACATAATAGCAGTAGCATTTAGCTTGTGAACACCCCCCATAGCACTTTACAGCAGGGGTAGTCAACCTTGGCTCTTTTATGACTCGTGGACTTCAACTCCCAGAATTCCTGAGCCAGCATAGCTGGCTCAGGAATTCTGGGAGTTGAAGTCCACGAGTCATAAAAGAGCCAAGGTTGACTACCCCTGCTTTACAGTATTCTCTGAGTGGTTTAAAATGTCGGCCTATGGCCCCCAACAATCTGGGTCCTCCTTTTACTGACCTCAGAAGGATGGAAGGCTGAGTCAACCTTGAGCCCCATCTGGATCAAACTCCAGGCTGTGGAGCAGAGTCAGCCTGCAATGCTGCACTTTAATCTCTGTGCCACCAGGGCTAAGTAGCTCTGACCTGTAGAAGCTGCTTTTGTTGCTGCTGCTGCTGCTGCCACTTATTAATTTTACATGCCACCTATCTCTGAGCACTTGCAGTAGCAATCTCTCCTACATCCCTAAGAAAAGCTTCCTTAATTTCAGCCATTAGATCAAGCTTTGCTGAGAAAAGGATCACTTCCTTGCTTTTACCATTTTGTCTGAACGATACCCCCCACCCCCGGTTAATGGACATTTGGGGGAGTTACTGCAGTCACATGGTGTCATCTTAATCTCTGTGTATCATACAATATGTCTTAGGCAGCCTTGATTCATGAGTCAACATATTTGGGTTCCATTGATATCAATGAGGGGAGAGTCACATAGATTCTTGACTCTTTTCCATTGAAAAGAGGTTTGGCTAGGTCATCAGCTTGTAAAAATCATATAAACCATGCAAAAATTCCATTGCCTTCTGTGGAAAAAGTTGAGCAATCTGTTGACTTATTTTGCTGGATCGTCCTGTCACAAGACAGCGATGTGGGTTAATTTCCGCATGATAATGAAGTTTCACTTCTGGTGTATTTAACCTTTTTTTGTGCGAGGAAGGCTAATGCAGCATCTACTGTCATTTTCTTCTTTTCTTTTTTTCTTTTTTTTTTCTTTTTTTCTTTTTTCCTTTTTTGGTAGGAACAGCGATTGAGAGAGATTTCTGTAGTTTCCAATTCTACTTCCACTTCTGCTTCTCCAAGCACTTTATCTGGAAAGAGCGTGAACACCAATCCTGCCGTTGACCTCTTTGCAGCCCCCGCCCCAACTACCAATAGGTAGGCAGGGGCTTATATTTTTAGTCATGGAAAAGCTACTAACAGGAGGGTGAATATTCATAATCTGCTTGTTTATTTGTTTTGCATTGGAAAATTAACCCAGCCTGGTGTTGGGGGGGTTTCTGGGAGCTGAGATGGGGAGGAGTCAGTCGGGGAAACATGTGGTTGCAGTCAGGACAGGCCATGGAGGATATGATGAGAGGCTCAGAGCCGGGGTCCCTCCTTCCAGTTCTCAGTCCTCCTCCCCAGGGCATCAAAAATGTCAAATCTCTGGAACCCCGGGGTTTTCACTGTGATTGTGAAATGTCAGATCTCTCTTAATGTGTGAAATTGACTTCATTTGTGATTAGTTGTGAGTGAGGGGGAGACTTGGTTTGCATCACTCAAATCTGTGTGGGGGAGAAGGGGGGGTGTTCTTGTGGGGTTTGGGTTTGGCATTGGCTGCAATCGTAGGGTGGGAACATCTGTTGTCATCCATGAGATTCTGCGGGCATCTAGAAGGATAAAGAGATGTGAGACCCTGTTTATGTGGCTGGGCTTGAAGGATCCGTTGGATTCCTTGCTTGTGTCCTGCTCCCTCTGATGCTCAGCAACACACCCTTTCATCCCCTTTCAAGGGTGGAATTGGGGCTTCCATAGTGCTTGTGCTGGAGATTCCAATCTGCCTTCCTTCTCCGAGGTGGTCTGAAGCTATGCGGGAGTTAATGACACCATGATAATACCTGATTCGTCTTTTGTGTGTCTTGGACAAGATACAACATGACCTGAAAATGTTTGTGGGGTGGGGAAGACTGACCTTCACTCCTTGCCATGGACAGATTTCTGTGAACATTTATGGGTGAACCCCTCTATACAGTGAGAAAAGACCTATTAAATCAGTGTTTCTCAACCTTGACAATTTTAAGGCATGTGGACTTCAACTCCTAGAATTCCACAGCCAGCAATGCTGGCTGTGGAATTCTGGGAGTTGAAGTCCAGATGCCTTAAAAATGTCAAGGTTGAGAAACACTGCATTAAATCTATCTGTCCCAGGTGCCTAATGGATCTTGAGAATTTTCAGAAGATGCTGATGGGCAGCTCAAACAAACTTTCTTCATTTTTTCAGGACACTGTGAATAAAAGGGAGTTATTTTGTTGCCAGCTTTGCTTAAAGAGAGAGAGAGAGAGAGAGAGAGAGAGAGAGAGAGAGAGAGAGAGAGAGAGAGAGAGAGAGAGAGAGAGAGAGAGAGAGAGAGAGAGACTCGGATATTTTGATACTCAAAATGAATCAACAGTGGGGTTGAAATGGAATTGATTCTTGCTAAGATTTAAATATTGTATTGCAGTAAATAAAGTCTCTTGAACTATTTCGTAAACAAATCTTGTGGAGATGCTTGTTAGATACCTCATTCAGTTTTCCACTGTTCTGGAAGATTTAAGTTTCAGCTTCAGCTCCCTCAGATATACAGACAATAAGTATGATTTTTTGCATAACTGGTATTCTTGAAACTTTCAGCATGCCCAACCTTTCTACCGATCTCTTCGATCTTCAACCTGCATTTGTTCCTACGGTACAAAGTACTCCAGCCATAGCAACGTCAGCAAGCAGTGCCTGGGGAGGTAAGTAGCTTTTGTACCTGAAGAGAACAGTGATGTTACTTGGAATTTTTTCCTCTGTCAATTTACCTTGAACCACCTGAGCACACAACTAAGCCTCTGTTGCCATGCAACTCAGGTATCTCTTCCTTCCACTAGCAGCTGCAGCGGAGAACTAGTAGCTAACAGTCTGGAAGAGAGCTGCTTCTGCATAGAATATATCACATTAACTTTGCTGTCTTTCTTGCTTGGCCTGTTTACACACACTGGCTATTTTGTGATACTGTTATTTCCTTCTGGGTGGTTTGATTTGAACATAAACTTGAGTGAAATGAGGAGACTTAAGAAGTGCGTTCTTCAGAATTTGAAGTGTAACTGGATCTAATTGGGAGAAGGGTTTTTAGCATAAGAAGGACTTCTATTGTCATTTCAGCTTATCTTAATTAAATAGAGTAGTGTGGAATAATACTTTAAAATTATAGATTTGAAGTGGGAGAGTCTGGTTTAGGTCCCTGTTCGAGCACAAAGCGAACGGTGGTTGTGGACCAGTCACTTCCTCTCAATCTAACCTGGATTGTTGTTGGACAAAATTAGGGGAGACTGTTATGTATGCTGTCTTGAGCTCCCGGAAGAAAGGTGGGATGTACATTGAATAATTCAGTACATTATGATTTGAATGCTTTAGGTTACTAGCATTCTGATTACGCTAAAAAGGGTTCATGTACCTATTCCTACATACATTGCCGTTTCTCAGTTGCCTATGCAGAAACAAATTCAAGTGGTGTTCTGCCAGCAAAGTTGAATTTCTGATTGCCAGTCTGAATTGCTTCAAGTGCAAAGTGCAGATAAAATTTTCAAGCCCCCTCTCCCGGCATCACACATTCTGTAGCAAATTCGGACCACTTTTACACATCAGACAAAGCCCTATGTGGTTGCTCGACTTAATGCAGTATATGAGCCTAGCCATTGTGATACTTAAATCATGTTTTGCAGCTTAGCACGACATGTGAACAGAACCCTCGGTGTCCCAGATTTTCAAGAGTTTGGCGGTTAAGATGTGCTTACAATTGAGTGCCACGCAGGGTTTCCTCTTTCTTCAATTCTGCACATAATTAAATCTGCTGAGGCAGCAGCAGAACATTTGACTCGGATGCTTCACCCCGATTCTCCAGATACGTACAAGTAATAGTCCTGATAAAGATCTCAGAGTTTCTCTACTGCACAATTTTCCAGCTTGTGCATTTGCTTTTATATGTGGATAAGAATTCTGTGAGCGACAGGCTCTTCCCGATCTTCCATCACTTAAAAGCCAAGCAAGAGAATTACAACAATCATTTTCAATCTTGGCACCATAATAAAATGGTCTAAGCCTTTGAGGAAAGTGGCTGTCCAGAGTCACCTTGTAGGGGAGATGGACGGCATAAAAATTTAATGAGTAAATAAAAATAAATATTTTAGGATGAAGTTGGTGGCTCCCAAAATCAGTTAACTATACTAAAAGCCTAAAGCAGGGGTCTTCAAACGTGGCCCTTTTATGACTTGTGGACTTCAACTCCCAGAATTCTGGCTCAGGAATTCTGGGAGTTGAAATCCACAAGTCATAAAAGGGCCACGTTTGAAGACCCCTGGCCTAAAGGGATAAATGATCTCAGAATTCTGCTGTCAGAGTTAATCTCTGGAGAACAACAGCAAGAAAACTGGTATGAGTTGCAAACAAATTTAAGTTGGTTGAGACTCAGATTTCTCTTTTTAAAAACAAACAAATTATAACTTTGCTTTTCTGTATTATCCTTCCCTGACTTGGAAACTTCCAGATGTATTGGTTTGCAGCTCCAAGAAAACCAATTAGCATGTTGGTACACATCTGGAGGGCATCCATTTGGGGGGGAAATATCCCTCATCTGTGAATTCTGCAGACTGTGACTATGCTTTCTCTCCTGAATACCACTTGTCTTCTGGTTTTTCTTCTTTCCCTTTCTTGTTATCTAACGCTGTCACCTGAAAGGACATTTCTCATCGACAAACGGTTGTGTTGGGTCTCCACCCCATCTGGATGTCTTTGATATGAAGCCAGTTGAAGAAGCTGTAAAAAGTACAACTCCTTTTGTGAGCTCCACCTTTGGCTCCAAACAAACAGTGGAACTATTTAGTGGTAAAAAAAAACAAAAACATTATCTAATTTCTTTTCCCACCAGTAGAAATTGTAACTGGTTCTGATATATGTATTTCAGTTGAAATTCAGTCTCTGCCTAAGTTTCCACTCAAAAATACGTTGCCATTCTATTTCATTCAACGAATGATTATGGTGATTTTCATTTGGGCGGCAAGTGGCATAATTCTATGAAAAGTGCATGTTTCGTGTTTGATATGTTTTTATAATCAGTAGAATACATTGGGATGCCTTTCATTTACTTCTACATTCTGCACTTAAATGTTGCCTGCCCTTGCTTAGTTTCATCTTTTGCTATCTGCCAAGATGAGTGTAGTGGTCCTTCATTTTCTCCTCTGGTTTTGGGGTCCTTGTAATAGTTTTTGTTGTTCTTTTAGGCTGCAAGTCTGTTTAATTCTGTCAATCTGACCAATATTTTGCTAGGCTACCCTCTTCATTCTGCATCACAGAAAACAACCTCTTCAACAATCAATGTGGACTTCGATGCTGTCTTTGGTGGAAAATCAACTGTAAATGATTTTGGAACTACAACAGGTAAAGTTCTTTTTCTCTCTCCTCATGTCTTTTTTAAAGCTTAGCTTAGCTTTTAGCTTTACGCTTCTCTAAATAATGTAATTTATTAAAAAGCCTTGCTGGAAGATCACCTGCTCTTAAGAGGAGAGGTTTATAATATCTAAACAATTTGCCCATTGACTAATAATATCTCCCATCTTGTACCTTGACAGTGATTCCCTTTTGTAAAGATGTAAAACACGACTTAATAGCTTTACAGAACTTGTTTTGGAATTTAAAAGCTGTGCTGGTATATTCCTATCGTAGCTTGTTAAGCTGTGTTGTGAATGAACCTTGTCTGCTTTTACATGGCCACTTCATATCAGAGAAAAAGTCAAGAAGTCACATTAGCCCTTTTAAATCATGGTATCCTATCCTGTCTTTGAAAGCCATAAACCAGCTTCTTCTATGTTCTATGTATTGCCTGTGCATGACCTTAGTTCTTAATGAGTTACCCTTAATTTTCAGATGATGTATTACAACCAACAGTATCTGCACAAAATCAGAGAGGAAATGTAATTGGGCCACAAAGTGGAAAGATTTTGGCCAATGACCTGGACTCCTCACTTGCTAATCTAGTAGGAAGTAAGTACAAAACTTTTTTTTCAACGTAATTCCATATTTTTATATAAAGGAATCCCCATTTTTTAAAATTAAATTATTTTCATGGGTTTTCTTACAGATCTTGGATTTGGAGGGACACCACCCAAAAAGTGAGAAAACCTACACATTTTTATCTTGAAATAATTGCTTTATATATTGATAAACAGCCCTTATAATTGATACTTTTAAGTCGGCTTTCCACAGCCTGATCCACTGCAGCAGAACAATTATAAGAAGTCAGCAGTTGAAGAAGCTTGCTACATTTTGTTGAAACAAGAGACATTGTAATGTTTCATGTTAGTAAACAATATAGTTTGTTTACCCAAAGTAATGCCTGTGAATATACTCAAACATTTACAGCCTGTGAAAAGCACACAGTCATTTGCTTGCTATCAAGTTTCTGTTCTAATTGCTCAAACAGATCTCATAATCAGAAGATTACCCAGTTGAATAGCATTGTTTGAACAGTGAAAATAAAAAGTTTCGGAATTTGGGGGGGTATTTTAACCTTGAGGGGGAAAAAATACGTTCAAGCATTAACACAGTAAAGGCCTCAGATGTAATACAGGTAGTCCTCAACTTACAACAGTTTGTTTAGTGACTGTTCAAAGTTGCAACGGCACTGAAAAATGTGACTTTACGACTGTTTTTCACAGTTACGACCTTTGTAGCATCCCCATGATTATGTGATCAAAATTCAGGTGCTTGGAAAGTAGTTCGTATTTACGACCGTTGCTGTGTCCCAAGGTCATGTGACCCCCTTTTGCAACCTTCTGACAAGCAGAGTCAATGGGAAGCCAGATTCGCTTAAGAACCATGCTGCTAATTTATCAACTGCAACGATTCATTTAACAACGGTGGCAAGAAAGGTTGTAAAATGGGGCAAAACTCACTTAATGTCTCATCCAGTTCCTTTCCAAGCAAAATGTGTATTAAAACAAAGTGACATTTTTAATATCTTAGATTTTTTAGAAAATCTAAGGTTTGATGCAGTGGTTAAAGTGTGCTGGTTTTGAAACTAGGAGAATGAATTCTAGCCCAATCAATTCATTAAATCTTTTTTATGGTCCTAGACCAACATAAGAAGGATGGAATACAGACAATTTTAAAAGCTAAAAAAATACAGTAAATATAAAATACATAGAGCTAAAAACATTTTAAAATGCTAAAACATTATTATAAAAAAACATTGTATTCAACTCTTCTTATGCTATAGTCTGTGTCTGTAATAAGGTTTTGATTGAGTTCTAGTCCCACCTTAGGCATGAAAGCTTGCTGGATGACTTTGGGCCAATCCTGTTCTCTCAACTCAACCCACCTCACAGGGCTTTGATTGGAAGAAGGGGTATTAGGTGTGTTTGCCACCTTGAGTTATTTATAAAAACAGTAAAGGTGGACTAAAAATCAAATGAACCAATCAATCTGAGGAATGTTAGCAGTTGTTCAGAGGTTTTTGTGACTTGCCCCTAATTGTAATGATGAGAATATGGCAGAAGCCCTGATAGGTTGCTGAATAAAACTGCTTTGTTGTACAATTCCCTTTAGATCTGATATGCAGTGGAATCAGCCTACAGAGAAGAAACTTACTGGGGGTAACAACTGGCAAGCAAAAACAAGCACCTCAACTACGTGGAACACCGTTCCTGTACCTCCTGCTCCACAGATGGTATGGACATTCTTGTAAACAATAGCTTAACGTGTGCTGACATTTTTATTTTTATAAAATTTTAATTTTTAAATTTCAATTTAAATTAGCATTTATTTATTTTAATTTTTACTTTTAAAATGTGAAGTTTGCATTTCTCAAACTATTGTCATGGCGACTTTGAAATTAAAGGGCTGATGTGAAATGACAGAACAGTGTTTCTCAGCCTTCGCCATATTATGAAGGGTGCACTTCAGCTTCCAAAATTCCCCAGCCAGCATGAAGTCTACCCATTATAAAATCGCCAAGATTGAGAAACACCATAATAGCATGTGAAGACTATTAAGATTTGGACTTGAAATAAATGTGCTATTATTTACAAGATTGTCCATTTTGTAAATAAATTAGATGTAGTAATAGCAATCAGAGAGCAAGAAGCACTATGCTTTCATAATGGTGTAATATACTACATAGTGTCCTTCAAAGGATGTGGTTGTGACTTGTGTCATGTCATTTGCTACCATCCTTGAATGCGTATAGCAGCTAAGGTACTTTCAGAAGAAAAGTCTACGTATTTGCAGTATGCTTAATGTTGGCCAGAATGCAGAGAGCTAATTGTTTTTCGTAAAACTACCACTCTTCTTGTATCATAAACTACTTTTGACATTTTTTTGAGATTTACAGTACCGTCAACTGTAATTTGGTATTAAATGGATGAACCTTGGACTTATCTCTTTCCTTCCCCATTTCTGTGCTATGATCCAGTTATGTTCTTCAGTCAGCCTTATTAAAATATAATATCTTTTAACTAACTTGTTTGGTGTTTTCAGAAAAGGTAACACTGTGGTCAGATGTTACATGCAGACTGTTTTGTTCTTCCGTCATAGGTACCTGCTCCAGTAACCTACCCAGTAAATACACCTCAAGTGCCTGTGTATGGAATGGTAAGTTACTTAGGGTTGATAAGTTTATGTTTATATGGTAGAGATACCCTCTCCTCCCCCCAGTTTTAATATCGCATTCTCTAAGATTATGTAGAGAAGGAGTGGCAGAACGAGGAGTGCACTTAAAAGAGGAATCAGCCTAAAATATCTTTGTAGCCTTAAATGGATTAAATCCAACCCTCTTTGAATTCATTTAACTTTTATCTAGTGTCAAAATAATGCTAAACATTAGCTGAGTAGATTCCTGTGCATAGGTATGAGCAATAAATCAGTTTAATTGTAATTTCATGTGTGGTCCTAGTCTTTTGCACCTGATAGCTTAACATGTTCTACATTGGGTAGCATCTGCTTACTCAGGAAGTTTATGCAAGATTCATAATCTTTATATTAAGCACATGCCATATTTGGACAATAAACCTGCATAATAGAAAACTAACATACTCTCTGTGCTGGGATTTTTTAATAAAATAACATTAGAGCTGGGTACATTTGAAACATTTAGAAGACATGCTTTTGGTCTTGCATAATTCCTAAATGAGAAACGAATATTAAATATTTTCTGATTATCCCATAATGAGTAAAGGTGGCAGAGAAGTTTGAATGTATAAATATTGAATATTGTTGAGCCATGTTGATTACCCAATCTTGACTGAATCCCAGATATATAGAACTATTTATTTATTTGTGTGGAAAGCCATCTCCGCAAGTGATTCTGGGCAACAAACCATCTTAAAACCAGTTAAAAACAAATTGCATCACGAATATAAAGATGCTAGCTCATCCAGGAGACCAGATCCTTCACACATTTGGGGGCCTTGTCAGTCAGGTTGGGGCCATCCTAATACCTGGAGGGGAAATGTTCCAGGTGCTAAGACAGAAAAGGCACACCTCCTGGGCCCTGCCAACCAGCATTCCTTAACCAACCCAGAGCATCCCCACTCTGCCAGACCGTTGGGTGGAAACAACTGGGAAAAGATGATCCCTCAAGTAACCCAAGCTAGGAAGGGCTTTAAGATGACAACCAGCATCTTGAATTGCATCCAGAAGCATGCTGGCAACCACTGCAGCTCTCGACTTAATGGCGATTTATTTGTTGAGTAACCAACATCATTTTCTACCTGCTCCATCCTGTGCTAGTTGAAGCTTCTGAATGCAGTTTAAGGGCATTATGAGATACAACCAACACAGCTAAATAATTCTGGGTACAGTCTAAGATTCAGCCAGGATTGATAGGTGGTCATCATGACTATGTTGGGAATACGAGTATACCCCCAATCTAATTTTTCAAATAAACTTAACTAAAATACAACTTGGTTCTACTTCGTTAGACTAGAAAAGAAAATGAACATGACAGTTGCTAGAGTTTGGCATCACTCTCCCTGAACAACTAGTAAGAAGAGCTGCTAGTTTTTTCTTACGCAGTGGTGGCCTGCTAAGGTTGTCACCTTTAGTGAATGCAGATATAGCATCTGTTCCAGGAGTTGTCCAGAGATGGTCCTTCTTTGGAAAATCCTCATGGTGTCTCCTGAATGGAAGATTATGCTGTATAGCAGGGATCTCCAAATTTGGCAACTTTAAGATTTGTGGACTTCAACCCCCAGAATCCCCCAGACCGCATGACCCCTGGCTGGGGAAGACCTGGAGATCCCTGCTGTACACTGTTGTTTGGCTCGCATTTGTGACTGCAGGAAAATGAATTACATTGTGACTTTTCAAGCTGGGAGAGCAGTGAATGACTTTATTCATTCTTCGTTCTACCTTCAGGTACCTACTCAGATTGGAACTGCCCCTATTATGACACCTCAGCCTATGATTTATACCCAGACCGGTCTAAGGCCAAACAATCCTTTTGCACCTATCTCTGGAACACAGGTTTGTGGTGATTTTTTTTTTCCTAAATGAGAATGTGAATGTTAAAATGTTTTGCTACTGGCATTTTGCCACAACCCCTTAAGTGTTCGGTTGATGGGTCTTTAGCTCGTTCAAGTTTTTGGGAAAGATTTTAAATAAGAGTTGGTTAGCACTTCACGGTGAGATTATGAGTGGATTTATAAAAGCAGTACATAGAAGAGGAAAAAGAAACAATAGAATCCTAAGATCCCAGGAGACTCCAGGCGGAGCGAGAGAGAGAAAAACAATAACAAGTTAAAATCCTGCCTTTCACAATGGAGACAGCAAACAAATGATAGCAAGAAGTCAGATTCTATCTGGTTTACAGATTGTGGAGAATTGGGTGAGGAACTGTAAGAAAACAAGTGGAGATGGTAGAAATGAACAAAACACTTCCAATACTTTTAAGGCAAAAAATGGAAAAGGAAACACATAATCAGTAATATGAATAGAAGATGTGAAAAACAGAAAGCAGTGTTGGGTTGTGATAGATCTTGAAGTTGGCCTACAGGCTTGTTTTTCAGGATTTGGCAGGTGAATGTCAAATTCCCAATCATCCAGGTCATGATTGTCCCAAAGGTGCTTTTCAAAAGGCAACTGGACTTTCTTAGCTTGTTTTTCCTTGAAAACATTTGCTTCTCATCCAAGAAGCTTCTTCAATTCTAATAGAGTTAGAACTTATGAAAGTGATATTTAAATTTTTTTTAAAATTGCTATTGTCTTTTTCAGTAGTGGGTCTGTCATCATCTGATGGTGCTAAGAACTACTGCAAGGGCAAAACATGTTAATGTTTGCATCTCTCATTTAACTCAGTTCTCTGAAACTCCCAAATAACTTGAGTATTTTTGCTAATAGCTTTAATTTGACTTTGTTTCTTCTGTTACAGATTCAGTTTATGTAGATCTGCCAAAACAGCAAGATTATTTGACAACCAAATATTGGTAGAGAGAAGATGAAACTTTCAGACTGCAGCCTTTGCCAGAGCTCATACTTGCTCCGCGTATACTATAAAATTAATTTTAATTGCTGTGCTTTAGAGATTCTTTTTATAACAGTCCCTATGGTCTGAAATCATGTATGGGTTTGGATGGGGTCAAAATTGTTTTCCACGAGAAGTTTTAAGTATTTTGAAGCTAAAGGTCATCCAAGTTCAAAAAGAATGTCCTACTTCTTGTTGCTTTTAAAGGCAAGCTTACTTAGGAATCCTTGGAAGGATTTATCTTTAATTTTGAGCCTGTAATAAGCAAGCGGACAGCCTCAAACGTCTATTTATTTTCTCCCCGAAACTAATCACGGGCACTATAGAGCAAAGTTGAGCAATAAACCTTTTAGATACTCTGAAGGACTACCAGAAACAGTAAGTACTAGGACAGGAGTAAATCCCGTATTATGAGTAAAGCTGGTTATCTTGGGAAACCAAGCTGTTTTTCCTCATGTTAGGCTAGCTTCTTCTGATTCATGGATTTTGTACTGTGAGTTTTGAAACGCTGTGAATCAACTTTAATTAAATGGGCCATTAGCATTAATTGAATTGGCCATGAATGGAAAACAAATTAATTGGAATTCAAGCAGAGGGATAGTTTAGCCCAGCTGTAGGGCTACCCTTGGGCCAGGTCAGGGGTGCTGGAATAGCATATTCCTGAGCAGTGTGTGAGATTCTGGTGTGAATGGCCACAGCAGCAATACTTGATGCGAGTAGCATTGTTTTTGACTCTGGTGAGAGTTGACTTCTATCCTGGCTAAAAACAACAACAGCCAGTAAATGGTCAGCCAGGTGTTGTAAGTCTGGGAAGTTGCATTTTTCATTGTGCTTCATCACGTTCCGTGGTGCACTTTAAGAACTGGAAAGGTGGATTTCTGAACGGTCCATCCATGGCGTAGCTTAGTTTTTGTCAACAAGGGAGACAAGGAAAAGATGCCCATAAACTACGTAAGGTAACATTTTTTTAGGGGAAAGAAGTGTAAATAATGTGTAAACCTTTAAGGACAGAATTTCTCCAGAATTGCAGGATTTTTTTTCTTGTTGTTTATCTTTGTAACATTCAAAATATGAATAATTACCAGTTAAAGATAAACAGCTCCAAATTTCTTTGGTATTGAAAAGCTTAAACTATTATTTCTGAAAATATGTGAGAAATTACTGCAGTTTAGGAGAGCATATGTAATGTGATGATGCAGCCTGATGGTCCATAATTTTCAACTCTCCTCCAAAACTGGTGATGATGATGATGATGATGATGATGATGATGATGATGATGATGATAACAATAACAATAATGATAGATTAAATAGTATGGGATTTGACCCAGCTTATTCAGGATGTATTAACAGAGGGAATTGCAAGAAATTAGGATTTAAAATCCCTTTTTAAAATCAAAGAAGAGTTCTAATTAATAGAAGAATTGACTCCTTTATATCACTGCCAGGCTTCTGGTGTTGGGCCCGTTACCACAGCAATAACAGGACAAAGGATATCAAATATTGTTAGTGTGGTTCTTTCGTAGAATTTTCCCCTATTTGGTCACATATTGTTAAAATACGGCAATTGACCTTGCTCTTTCAAGCATTTGCCAAATTGTGGGGTTTGTTCCTAGGAAAAAGGGATTTAACAGCAAAGGGGAAAAAAAAGAAAAAAAACATTTTTGCAGATCAGAATGTCAAATTCAGAAAACCATTTTTTTTCTCTATACGTGTCTTTTGTGTTTGTTAATATTGTGCCAAGAATGTAAAAAAAAAAAGCCTGCTTCAAAAAGGATATACTTGTTTTGTCAAGCTAAACATGATTTTTTAAAGGAAAGAATCATTTTTTACATATGTGTTTGCAATTTGTAACCACTAACTTTGTATGGATTAAATGTGCAAGTGGAAAAAAATGTTTTAGACCAAATCTTCGACATGTACTGACAAAGACGTAAACTGGATGCATGTAATTAAATGTGGAAAGTGAATTTTCAAGGGCTTTTGACTTTAATGTATTCTCCAGATTTGCCCCAAACCAGTATTTATTTTGACCCCATATAATAAGCTGGAGCAATTTATTTGTGGGCTTTGTTTGAATTGATATTTTCATGCATTAATTTAACTAATCCTCATATATAAGATTGTACAAACTTGCCTTCCCATCGATTTTCACTCAATCCAGTTTAGACCGGTATATGTGTTTTGAAATAACATAGGCTTTATAATAAATTAGAAATATTTTATCACAGACATTGTGATCATGTGAAGTTTAACGCCATAATATAAGCAGCAAGCTTTTTAACTCCCAGAGATTATTGTCTAATCATGGAATTATAATGATGTTTAATTTATTATATTTACGGGCTGCAATCTTACAGCAGGGAACATCTTGCAATATCCATCTCATCAGAGAGAGAGAGAGAGGGAGAGAAACTCTCCAGATGAAAGTATGTTCTTATGTTATTGCTTGATATAATATTATGTGTACTTACTGATTTTATTGTAATTATAGTAATTCATAATAATAACCACAATGTTCCCATTGCAACATATTGATGTATAAAATTTCTAATATTTACAAATTCTTCCCTCTATTTAATGTCCAGTACAGTTCATAAAATAGACTTTAATTTCTTTGTAGCTTGTTACTTCCAGCTCAGCCACTGAAGATGCACAACCTATTGTGCCTGCAAAACCTTTAACCAGTTCACACACAACCTGTAACAACCTCTTTCTCAGAAGGTACACATAAGATTGTATTCTCCTCACACCTTTCCTGTGATCTTCTAAATAAACATGGTGTCCAGTTGACCCTGTGAATAACACTGTTCGTGAGCTGCAGTTGATAACATGATGATGTGTTTTTATGCCTTTGAACTGTGTGATTTCTATCAGGCTCTCATCCCATCTTTAACAGGTTTAATTTGAGGCTTCTATTTTTATCATATCCAAGTCCTGGATGTGATTATATTTTAGCTGAGTTTGGACAATAAGCAATTTTGCTTTTGTTCTCTCAAGCAGTGGTCTCTGAACCACAGCTGTCCCTAGTTGTGTATCAGCTGTAAATATTAGCTTTGAAATTGGAAGTAATCTCTAGTATGTAGTTCTCTGGGTGATGTTTAAATCATATTGCTTAGTTACCATACCTTTAATTAGACAAGGTGGGAGTTGTCTGTGTCTCCTGACCAGCCACTGTGTCCTGGAATTGCCCCCTCCCATTAAACTGGCACAAGAATGGACAGTGAAAAAATTGGCATCAGGACACTACACCCTTGGTGGTAGTGCTTGTGACTGAACTGAAGAGCTGACTCTCCAGGACAGGAATTGCATTCATAGAACAGTTTGGCAGAAGTACCCCTGCGTTGAAAAATTGGAGTCTTCCTGTCTCCCTGACGGTGGGTGCAGCACTGCAATTCCTTGCTGCAAGATTGCAAGATCTTTTTTTTAAAAAAAAACCAAGTAGTAGACCTGGGTAAGTGGTCTATGTTCATTTTTATTGCAAGTGTTTCTGCACCTTCGTGCCAGAAATTACCATTGCAGAGGCAACTGTACCATTTTCAACTTCCAGTTGGCTAAAGGTTGTTTACAGTGATTTTTAGTGTTGTTATAGTTGAATGGTCTTGACACGTTGGACAAGTTAAGTGTATATGTTGTGCATACTTAAAACAGTCCCCTCTCCCTGATTTTATATATTTATTTATAGATCGAAGTGAACTTCCTAGAATGTTATCCATCAACTGTATCCCAGCCAAATCCAGGAACACTCCAAGCTGAGACTTAAGCACATGAGCTAACATTGTAACGCACCTGATTTCATATGCCTTAGGTTATCATTAGGGCTGGACAGACCTTCAGAAATAAATCCCAGTAAGTGCTTCGGAGCACAAATGCAACACCTGACTGCAACTCTGTAAAGCACTTGAGTTTGGAGGATTGTGTGGTGGCTCTCTGCTCATGGCCTCAGGAAAAGACGGTGCTGCTTTAAAGAGGGACCAGGAAGTTCCATCTTTGTGCTCCTGAGTGCTCCACAGCAGTGCAGTATATGAACATAATGCATACAAAATTTTAAGGAGAAAAATCATGTTCAGAATTGGCACTTGCCTATCCAGTATTGAACACATCCTTGTAAAATATACTGGTGATGCTAAAGAAGATTAATGTAATGAATGTAATATTTCGCCCATTAACATTTTTATTGCAAATTTTTCTAGTTCTCAAATGTTTGGTATAAGAGAAAGGATGCTTCCTGTTAACGTTCATTTTACACCAGTGGTGAATTTAAGGTTTCTATTTTTAAAAAAAGAAAAGAAAAGAAAAACTAATCCAAAATAAGATGAATTTGCCTGTTTTATGCTACCCGTTATTATTTACTGGGAAATCAACACACTTAAGTCCAGCAGGCCTTATTTGCAAGTAATCTCAGTCTGAAATTGGGACATCCTGGCTTTAGCTGTCAATACTTCTTTTATGAATTGCCAAAATTAAGATAGCAGAAAGAAATGAACTCCCTGAAGATATTCAGAGATAGCATTTATCAAACGTTCTGCCTGTTGCACATATATACACTAATAAGGCCTTGTATGTCAACGTCATTTCTTGTTTCCCCCTTATAATGGTGACATTGGGATTTGGGTTTTTGATTTTTCCAAGAGAAGCAGGATGGATCTGAAGATGGCTAGATGCTTGTTTGGGAACATTTGCACAGCCACAGCTCCGTGTTAAAGCTGTTAGGCAGAGCTGTGGACAATTGGACTGCTGTCTGGCTTTTAGGAAGCTGAGTGAGATTCTAGAAAATGCTGTTGGGCACGCCTAGTGTGTTATTTCAGCACCATGTACAGTGGCAACATAGAATGCTGGGCATGTATGTGGTCTTATAGTCAGTCTTGGCATCCAGAAATGAGGTGACCTAAGATACGCGCTCTCTTGCCTTCCCTCCTATCTCCGTGGGCCATCTTCTAACTACTTTTGCCCCCTCCCCAACAGTTGTTCCCTGATGCTAGAAATTAACTTGGTGTAGAGAAACGTCCTGCAGCTGGTGAACTGCCCAAATACTAACATTTTGGGGCAAAGTTCCTGTGTGTGTCTCCTGATTGGCCTATGGCATGTTGGCATCCCAGTTGAGCTGCCCTTTCTCATCCCACTGTTCTGCCTAGCTGGCCCTACACGAGGGGAAAGCTAGATTTTTGTCATACTTGAAAAAGTCTGTCCTGAATTGAAGGTTCCTTTTTCTAAAGAACACATTTTACAAAGAACAATAAATATTTTTAGTCCTCTGTATATAGTAAGGATAAGTACCATTTTTTAAGGCAAGACTATTTGGGGAGGGGGGGTGTTGAAATGTTATCTTTAAAATTGAATACAGGGTGTACATACAGGAACTGGTTTTGCTTTTGTGGTTTGGTTTGCTCTCTTTTCAGGTGTGGTTTGAGAATTTGTCGGGATATCAGCTTTTGAGTGGAATGCACTGTGGATCAGTGCTTTTATTTGTACATGAAAGGGAATCCTTTTTTTTCCTCAAGTCGTCTACATTTTGAGGATAATGCTGAAATGCTTTGCGTACTGCTCGCTTGTTTCCATTCTAAAGATTATATTTTTGAGTTAGGGAAACTATGTTTTCACTGCAGTTTCTAGAAAATGTTTAGAAATAGAAAGGTTGCTTCTGATTCTGGTGTACTTTGACTTTTTGATTGTCAGGTACCGATTGAAAAACGTATTGTGTCACTCATTTTCTCTATGGCTGTCTGTCACTCATTTTAAATATTGTAATAACTGGTGCAGTCTTTCTTCTCCTTTTGTCCTAGCCTTTCACAGTTGTTTCTGTAGTATTCTCCAAAACTGATAAATCTTTGGGTATATTTGTATTCGTGTATCCAATGGTTGTAGGATTCAGAGCAGGGATGGGGAACTATGGCCCCTTTATGACCTGTGGACTTCAACTCCCAGAATTCCTGAGCCAGCCGTGCAGTATCGTTAAATCTGATTTTGGTTTTTTCCCCCAAAGTGTTTTGCTATGAAAGCCGTAGAAGGCTTGCAGTTTAGCTAAGCTTTAAAGCAGATTTTAGGCCATGTGTCGAGTTGGACTCAAGACTATAGTAGTGGCCTTTGAATCCTGCTGAAAAAGATTGTAATGTGATTCCCATTTAAACAGGTAAGAGTGAAATGAAAGTAACTTCGTCTTCATCTAATCCACCAGGCTGAATTAGTGGAGCCAGACGCCCATCGGCAAGCTTGCAGTGGGGAGCTTTTGAATAGTTTTCAAGATGGTGCTACTTCTCAGCACCCTTTACTGTTCCTCATATTTATGGGGGCTGCTGGGAACTGCTGTTGAGCAACATCTGGAGATCCCCATCTCAGGTACTCTGTTCACTTGGGAAGGCAGGGGCAGCTTCAGCTTTTGTTGCGTATCTGGCAATTGACAACTGTTTGAGCTTCTCTATCTAGATCATGGGTGTCAAACTCGCCACGCCACATGACGTGTTGCAAAGTATTGTGACTTTTTTTGCATTGCCAGAGCTGGGATGATGCAACCAGCCCACAGGCCGGCAGTTTTGACACCCCTGGTCTAGATCAATGTTTCTTAATCTCAGCCACTTGGGAAGACTTCAGCTCTCAGAATTTTCCAGCCTGCTGACTGCCTGGGGAATTCTGGGAGTTGCAGAGTCCAGACATCTTCAAAGTTGCCTTGGTTGAGAAACACTGATCTATTCTAGATGGTTAATGGGCAGAGTTGGAAGGGCACATGAAACAATAAAGGTCACATTTCCTACTTTCATTTTTAAACCGTTGTCAGGTAGAACAGGGTGTGGATTAAGATACTGATAGGGAGTGAGGGGGGCCAGACCTGCCCCACATGCACGTGCAAAAGAGAAAAAAACAATTC